AAAGGATGAGTTAAAGTGATACAACGTGATAAATATCTTGTGACTTAATTAGTGAAGTAATTAGCAAAGTGCTAATAACGTTTGTTAGTTGATTCATTAAATATTAAAAAGTAATTAATGCTGTACATTCACGAGTTAGAAAATTTAAAAGAGCGAACATGCTTTTTTTTGTTTCAAGATTTGTTTTTCGCTCCAAAACTCGGTCGATAAAATAAGTTTTTCTTTCTCCTTTCTATTTCCAGATGTTTCTTTCTTTTAGTCCTTATTTTCACCATTTTTTTGTTTTTTTAATTTTTTTTCATTTTCTTTTTTAAAAATTTCTTTTTTTTTTTCTCCTTAGTCTTAGCATTTTTCTTTCCTTCTTTCTTTCTTTCTTTCTTTCTTTCTCTCCTTAGTCTTAGAATTTTTCTTTCTTTCCTTCTTTGATTCTTTTTTTTCTTTTAGATTTTTTTTCTTTTTTTCTTTGTTTGAATTTCTTTTTTTCTTAGAATTTTCTTTCTTTTTTTCTATTTCTCCTTAGTCTTATCATTTTTTTTTTTTTCTTTCTATTTCTTTTTAGTCTTATCAAAATGAAAACGTCTTTTCTTTCTTTCTTTCTTTTATTTTTTTTCCTTCTTGGTCCTAAAATGACCATTTTTTTTTCTTTCTTTCTTTTTTTCAATCTTTCTTTCTTTCTTTCTTTCTTTAGTCTTAGCATTTTTCTTTCTTTCTTTTTCTCCTTAGTCTTAGCATTTTTCTTTTTTCTTTCTTTCTTTCTTTCTTTCTTTTACTGCTTTTTGTTTCCTTTTTTCTTTGTATACTTAGTCTTACCATTTTTCATTCATTTATTCATTCTTTCTTTCTTTCTTTCTTTGTTTCTATTTTTCTTTCTTTCTTTCTTCCGATTCAACCTTTTTCTTTCTATCCTTCTATCTTTTTTCTTTCTTTTATACCTTTCCCTTCATTCTTTCTTTAAAATATACTTTTCTTTATATATTTCCCGCTCTTTGTTTCTTTCTTTGTTTCCTTCTTTCTTTGTTTCTTTCTTTGTTTCTTTCTTTCTTTTTTCTTTTCACTCAAATATCTCTCTGTCTAGCTCTTTTCCTTTATGTTTCTTTCTTTCTTTAGTCGTTACTTTCAGCCTTCTTTCTTTGCTTTAATATTCTTCAATGAAATGTCACCAGAACACATCTGTTATTTGTTATATATATATATATATATATATATATATATATATATATATATATATATATTTGTGTGTGTGTAAAAATACATTTTTTTTGTCGATACGCATGAAACGCATTAACTGTTAAGGCTGTCATGTTTGTTCATGTCTTTTTATGTAGGGAGGTAATTTATTTATATATAACAGAATATTTCCATATATACATTACATACATAATACATACGTATATATATATATATATATATATATATATATATATATATATATATATTGATATTTATATATTATGAAATAGACTAATTTGATAATTATTTTAATATATAAAAATATTATACGTTAAATATTTCATTACTTAAATATTTGTATCTATAAAAGTAAAGTATAAAATTATATATATATATATATATATATATATATATATATATATATATATATATATATATATATATATATATATATATATATATATATATATATTTAGAGAGAGAGATGAATATTAAGAGAGAGAGAGAGAGACATAGACAGAGAGAGGGAAGGAAGAGAGAGAGAGAGAGAGAGAGAGGGATAATTCTGCAAAAATATATGCACATTTTCTTAATAGATTATTATGTGAAAGCTAATTGAAAAAATTTAAACACGGTATTTAATGATTTGGAGTTATAACTTTTAACAACTACGCCACGGCGAGTTTTAAAAAATATAAATGCACTCACTATCTCTCGCTTATATATATATATATATATATATATATATATATATATATATATATATATATATATATATATGTGTGTGTGTGTGTGTGTGTATTTGTGTATTTACGCATCAATCTTTCTTTGTGCACATTTCATTGAATTGCAGACAAGTTGCTTTTGATTTTTATATTTTTATACAATTTCTCATGCGATCTAATTTTTTTTTTTTTCAGAGGATAAATTATATAAAAACTACCTGAATGTTCTTTTTTTTTATCCGAGTGCTTTCGGCTATACATTTAGCCATTTTCAAGGATTAAATATTTTATCTGTTAAATAAGAAATACTTTGTTGCCTGCTTGTATTTATATAATGTTTTCATTTTTCAAAACACGGTCAAGATATTGTGTCTATCTTCATAGTTGTTTATATATATATATATATATATATATATATATATATATATATATATTCGAAAATTATAACATAAATATGTTATAATATCACTACAAAAATAACCATTTTGTTTCAACATTTCTGTTGTCTTATCAAGTGATGGTGTTGAATGCAGAATAAAAGGTTTTAAAATGTTCAAATCAATAACAAAATGAAGAAATATAGTTTTAAAGTGTGCTATATTAATGGGATAAAGTGCTCAATATGAGAGATTGAGCGTATGTAAATATAAATATAAAATTGAACATTGAGTCAACACTCAGAGGCGACAGGCTGTTTCATGCTGAACGCAATTTCCAGACTATATATATATATATATATTACACATTATGAAATGGACAAATTCCGACAATTATTTTAAGTCATTTTTATGTCTGTACATTCTTTTTATACATTCAAATATTTAAGTAAATGCTCTGTTTATAATAAACATTATTAACGACATTTATCGGCCTGAATGTCCGAGAAATTTTCATAAAAAATATGCGTCCTCCGACAGGAATCGAACCTCTATCCTATACGTTTATATATCGACTTTGCCAACCGAAAGATCCTCTGTGGCCCAATTGGTGAAGGTACGTCAGGCTATATGACAGTTCCGTATAGGATACAGGTTCGATTCACCATCGAAGACGACAATCGCATGGACGTTTTCCCTGAAGTGAGTTAACTGAATAAGACTTGACGTGGGAACCTTGACTCTTCCATTCTTGCTAAATGTCCTGATCATCAAAGACGGTGTTTCAGGATCAGTGATTCGATGATTTAATTGTAAATTCTTTCCAAGAATTTTGGTGGTCACATAGTCTTCCAGTGTTCAAGTTTGAACGAAGACTTTCCTGGTAAAAACGTACAAATATTTGGATGTCGCGACGATATAGAGTCCCCGTTTCGCAAGCATATAGCAAAGTTCAAAATGACAACAGCGGTATAGACTGTCATTTTTGTTATTAGGTTCAGATATTTGTTGTTGAAAAATCGTTTGATTACCTTTCCACATATCGATAATTTATACAAAAATGCAAATTGATATGACATTATACAATCAAAAACGAACTTGTTGATGAAAACGTAACGCTCCTGGTGACGTTTATTTAATTATTTCTCCCGAAGCAAAATATTAATGCAAATAAGACGTAGGATATTACTAAACAAGTGAATGGGGTGGGGACAATAAAATAATAGAATTAAAGTAAGAATGATTGAATTGACCTCATGATAATGCTGGAGAACGAGGTTAATTTTGTCGAACCTTTCTCGCTTATCGTCTGATTTCTTCCATTTGAGAATAAACTGAATAAGACTTGACGTGGAAACCTTGACTCTTACATTTTTGTTACAAGTCCTGATCATCGAAGACGGCATTTCAGGATCAGTGATTCGATGATTTGACTGTTGGCACTTTCTTTGTTCTTGGTCATATAGTCTTCCAATATTCAAGTTTGAACAAAGATTTTTTCTGGTGAAAGCGTTCTAATATTTGGATGTTTCGATGGTATAGAGTCCCGGTTTCGCAAGCATATAGCAAAGTTGAAATGACAACAGCATTATAGACCATAATGTGTGTTGTTAAGTTTAGACTTTTGTTGTTTTGCACAGAAAACCATGTCATGACAACTAGAAGCCGCCCCTTTGGCGGACTTTAAACTAGACCCAGCGGTGGGTTTGGGGCCTTCGTCCTTTGGACTTTTACCTTCAGTGTCCTATGTACGTAAAAGTTATAAGAATTTAGAAATAAAATAGTTTTATATTGATTTCGACGCATTAATTCGGCATAAACTTTCTTCGTATACGCAACAGATCTCAGTAGTTTGTTTACAATTATTTTGTGCAGCAATTTTTATTTTCTTTTAATATCAGCATTCTTTATGATCCCTTCACATAAAGTCACTCTTAAACGACATTAAGGAACCTGAAATATTATATATATATATATATATATATATATATATATATATATATATATATATATATATATATCACAGTACGATTTTTTAGGACTTCGGACTTTTTCTTTTTTTCTATGTACGCAAAAGTTATAAGAATTTAGAAATAATAAAATTATTTTATCTTTTATTCTACACCTTAATTCGGCATAAACTTTCTTCGTATACGCCACCGATCTCAGTAGTTTGTTTAAAATTATTCTGAGCAGCAATTTTTATTTTCTTTTAAAATCACCATTCTTTATGAGCCCTTCACATAAAGTCAGTCTTAAAAGACATTAGGGAATCCGAAAGATGTAATATTTCGAATACGTCACAGTACGCGTGCTAGAAAAAGAGAAAATCATATGAGCAACGTATCGTGCCCCACTTAAGTTTTAATTACGGTTTAATTAGACGATATCAATTGCAATAGCGGCAAAAAGAGAAATGAAATTTAAACCTTTAATAAAGAATTGTTTTTCAAAACCGTTCACTCTGTTCGAGAATTTAAATTTAACTTTAAATGAGTTATTTATTTCATTTTTAATCGCGTGTAAGTTTTTTTATTCTCCCTCGTTAATAGTGTTTTTTCCTCATATTATTTAGTACTAACTTTTTGCTTCTTAGTGGCTTTATTGCCTTCCTTGGGATGAAATGATTAAGAAAATGTTATCTAAGTAAGAAAAATGATGTAAAATGTTCCTACAAAGTTAGAGAGAGGTTGTAAAAAGGGTTTCCATCGACTTCACAAACGTAGCC